AGCAGGGAGCCCGATGCGGGGCTCGATCCCAGGACCCTGGGATCATGACCTGAGCCGAAAGCAGACGCTTAATGACTGAGCCACCCAGGCGCCCCCATCATCCAACCTCCTTAACCCCCCAAGTATAATCAAGGGAACACGTTTAGGTTTGTGTTTCAGAGGGCCAGGATCCATGCTATGTAGCATTTGTTCATCTTGATAGATCTGAGGTCATCTCTTTGTGGAATTGAGACGTGTGGCTCTGGTTGAACCAATTTCTTAGATCTTGCATGATGGCGGTCTCCAGGGTTGGAACAGGCAGTCCCTGGCATGGGCCCATTTGCTTTTTATAGCAGTGCTGACATCATGTTGCACAAAATCAGTCTTTATGTCAGACTTCTCAACTGAGAGCTGATCATGGGAGGGCAGGGCACCAGTAACCGTAACCTTCTGAAGCTGCTCCTAGCTGGCTCTGCTCACCACCTGAGCACCCAGAACCAGTCTTCTGGCCAGTGAGCTGCCCTCCCTCTGGCGTTTCACCCAGCCTACTCTCTGGAAATGAAATGTGCTCATGGGCAACTCAGAATTTCCTTGGCCACTACCAGCACGTACCTGCCTATGCGCGGCCGCTTCCTCAGAATATGACTGTCCTACTCGCCATTCCTGAATGCAGGGTACATGTCAACGGTCCTTATTTTCTCATATTCCATTTCTTAGGTCCCTCGTTTAAAGCGAGCAGTTTGAAAGCAGATAAAAAGTTAGAATTTGTTCCCACAAACTTGCACATACAGAGGATGAGAGTTCAAGACGATGGGGGGTCAGGTAACTATTTTTCTGTTCCTCTCACTAAATCACACTTGACTTCCTTTCCCCCCGTGTGCTTGGTGCTCACACTGCCCCACACGTGTGCAGCCTTCCCTGTGTGTGCTTCCGCCTGGCAACTCAGATAAGAGACATGGCACAGGACCCTCGTAAGGTCTTGGTTTCCTAGGTTTTTCCCTCCCTTTGTTCCTTCCCCTCGTCCGTCCTCCCTCCAGCTTCCCTCTGTGTTTCTGTGGCAGCAAGTCGCCTGTCAGTTATCCTTCCCAAGGAGGGGTGCAAGCTGAGTGTTACCGGTGGTTGCCTCCGGCCCTTTGTGGCCCCATCTGGAGACGCGCAGGAACCCCCTCTCTGCTGAGATGATGGTGCTGGGCTCCAGGGGCCCTCGGAAAGTCGAGGCTGTGGGGCTGAGGGAGCGGGCCGCTTGGCACTGGGCTGGCAGGGCAGGGTCCCGGAGCTGCGCACATACCCCTGTAGCTGGCTTGTGCACAGGCCTGAGCCCGGAGTAACGGAGGAGAGCTTTCTGTCATTCAGATCAGAACTACGACATTGTCACCATCGGGGCACCAGCTGCGCACTGCCAAGGTTTTAAGTCAGGAGGTCTCCGCAAAAAGCTGCACAAATTTGAAGAGACCAAGAAGCAGTAAGTACTTGGAGGGTGTTCATGGGTCTTTGTACAGCTGTCTGGTGCTTCCTAGGTCAAAAAAAAGACAAATCAAGAGGTGACCGCAAAAACATCCAGCTATCCGATGTGCTTTTGTGCGGCGGGAGGAACTGCCTCGTGGCCTGGGTGCTTCTGTGTGTGTGACTGAGCTGGGGGGCGGGGCGTGAGGGCGCCTGATGAGTGGTCCTGACCCTGCAAAGGAGCGGCAAATTGAAACCCCCTGGAAGGTGGCTACCCCGTGTGGACTCTCTGCCACCTCAGCTGTCCCTTAGAGCCCCTGGTCCGTCACACCAGGTGTGCAGTGTGTGCTGAACGCCACAAAGTGTGAAGCCCGGAAGAGAGTGCTTCCTTTCCTGAGCCGACTGCAGTGGTAAACATTCCCTGTTTTAAGAAGGCTGGAGTGGGGTGGGGGGTGGGAGGGGAGCTGCACGCAGCTGCAGTCCAAACAGGAAATGGCCAGGTAGGCAGTTGGGGAAGGGCATTGTGGAGCGTGCAGGGAGGTCTGGCTGAGGCGTGGTGCTTTGAGGACAGGAGCTGAGGGGGAGGGCAGCCTTGCTGGCAGACTGCTCAGTGCGGGGCCACACGCTGGTGAGCCTGGATGCAGGGGTGACAGAGGTAGGCCTGGCCCCAAGGGGCTCCTGGTCTTGCCTGGGAGTGGACAAGTCAACAGCACCACTTGGAGCAAGCAGGGCCGTGCTTGGAGCGGGGGTGACGCCGAGAGAGCCACAGACCCCAGCTGTTGTGTTGGATATGTGGGAGGCATTGGTGATCTTCCAGAATGTCACCCGTCAAGATTTAAATGGATGAGGGAGGCAAGTGTGAGAAGTAGGGGCGACGAGTGTAGATGGTCCTGTGAGATCCGTGGACCATGGAGTAGAGGAAATGGCATGCAGGTGTCTGCCTGGGGAGAACGGTTATCACATGATTATGTGTTCAGGCTGATGGGGATGGCGAGAGTGAAGAACTGTTGGTAAGAGAAGTCGATGGAGCAAGGTTCTGGAGATGCAAAGGCCAGACCAGGCAGGGAGTCCTAGAAGGTGGGGTGCAGAGAGGTCCTTGAGGAGTGAAGAAACAAGCTGAAGATACTGTGAATCAGCCTGTGCAGAACGTGGAGTTGAAAGGGTGGGACTTACCAAGGGAGAATGCAACAGTTGGAGGGAAGGTGAAGCCAAGGCCCAGGGGGCATCAAGAGAGTCAGCAAGGCGGCCAGGTGGAGAGTATTAGCACCTGCCAGGGAATCAAGGCTCTGGGCTGCCATGGCCAGGAGTCAAGATGTGGCTTGGGAAAACTGACATCAGACTGGATCAAGGAAGGGGTGAAAGGTCAGGTACAGTGGCCGGTCAGTGGGCCAAGGGGATCAGGGATGCAGCTAGGAGCTTCTCTGCCCATGGGGCGAGGCTGGAGGGGTGAGCCGGCAGGTGCAAGAGAGCGCACTAGGAGAAATCACCGTTCAGATGTCTGCACAGGTGGCCCGGAGCCAAGTGAACCCTGGAGGCAGCAGGAGGAAGAACAAGGAAGGGCCAGTGGTTAGGAAGGGGAATTTCAGCCTTCAGGGCAGGCGACATTCTTGGGAGGCCCCCCAGACAGCCCGCTTGACCTTGATTGATCCCACCAAGGGGTCTTCCCCTCCCAGACAAGCCAGACCCACCTGAGGAGTCACTGACTCTGCTGTGCCCTGGGAATTACGATGAAGAGGAAGCTTCCAGTGCTCCCCACAGCTCTGCACAGCCAGCCAAGAGAGCGTGTGTCTGTCACTCCATTGCATGTGGCTGTGTGGGGGTGTGAGTGGGAGATTTGAGGATGCCATGGGGACCCTGGAGGGGAAAGCCCATCAGGAGGGGACGCCACTGGCCGTCCCTGTCCTGGAAAGGTCAGGATGTTGATACCTGATTACGAAGTATATTAACTTCAGAAGTCCTTACTTCCAAAATGCTCCTGGAGTATATTTCAAATAAATAATGTAAATTTTCATTTAATTTCCTTCTAATGTTATTAAAATCATCTGTAGAAATGATTTTCATTATTTGAACAGTACTTTAAATGTGGACAGAACTTGGCCCACAGGCGGAATGTCCCCCTGGGGCTTGCGCACAGACACGGACATTGCTCTGATGAATAAGCACATTGGGCTCATAAGTTTTATGGTCCCTGTAGTGGGTGCCTCAACACATAATTTCAAGGATTTTGACAAAAGATAACTTGGCTTTTTAATTTTTTGTTTTGCATTTGGTGTTTGCTAACTGCTAATATTTCGTTTTGGTTCTTTTCTTTAGCAGTTTTGAGGAGTGTTGGTGAGTTTTCTGTCTGTGGAGAGAGTGTCTGTTTGGGTCTTGCTCTCCTGTAGAGAAAGCCGGTGCTGTCCCCTCCTCGGTGAGGTGCTTCAGCCCTCGCTGCCACCGGGGGGCCCTGGTTATAGCCTCGTAGACAGAATTCTCTCTTCCAACTGCAATGTTCTTTGATAATGAATAGCCCATCTCCAGTCTACCATTTTACCTTCCAAATCCGGCGGCACTTTGTTGCTGTGTGCGCTCTGAGGGAGGACCCTGTTTCTCCCAGGCCGGGCAAGTCGCCGGGTGCTGGCATTTCAGGTCCACCCATCGGGGTGGTCGGGAATCCCTGTCTGGCCTCTTTTACGAGAATCTTAGGGCTTCCGTTTTCACTTCACCATCACCTCTTATGGGAATATAACCAGCTTCCGTTTTTTGTGAATATAATTTATGCAGATTTTTAAAACAGTGTTCCTTGGGCCAATTTTCCCCCTGAGGGCAAACCAAGAATTGATATGACCAAGTGATTTTTTTCCTACCAAAGAATTAGATGGCAGCCAGAAAGCACTGTGTCTGCAGCCCAGGGGCTCCGAGGCTGCCCCCGGCCCTCCCCAGCCGTGCCTAGCGCGCTTGCTCAGGCGACAGCCGGGGCTCTGCAGTGGCGCTTCGCGTGGTGACAGCCTCTCAGAGCTGGGGGAGCTCAGGGGCCATGGCGGGGTCCTGCCCGACATGGCAGCTCTCTGCCAGGGACAGCAGGATAGCTGAGGCCTCTGGGGCTTTCCCTGTCTCTAGGACTAGGACTGAGCACACATGCTCGTATACTCACCATCATCCCCTAACAGCAGCTCTTTGAAATTTACTTTTCCACACGCCCCGCCACAAGCTTCCTGTGTGTAAGCCCCAGATTACTGTTACTAGAACGTGACCTGTAGGAACACAAGGTGAGTAGGAGCGGTGCTCTCCTTCGGGCTTGGGGGACCGTATGTACTGGTCGAAGTATACACAGCCATCTACATACACACACATATATCTACAGGAAGCACACATTGCATGTGTGGCTGTAAAGACTGGGGCCAGGGAAGGACAGATTTTTAAAAATCCTATTTGAGATTGTGTTTTTAAGACTCAATTGTCAAATGGCAGCTATTCATTTGGAAGAGTGATTGCAGATTGGAAAGTAGTCATGTGCACATCGTGCTGTGAAATTAGTTCTCAGATCACGCAGGCTTGGTTGTGGTCTGCTGCATGGGCTTCTGGCAAATCCATCGTGTTTTATCGTGGTGTGTGGGCTTGGGGTGTTGTTTTTTTCTGGGGTGCTTTGGTTTTTGGGTTTTGCATGTTTACACTGTAGTCTGTCAAGGGAGGTATTTTGGAGACCTGCTTTCAGGATCCAAAGAGCCCAGTGGGGATGGTGGGGGGCACCTCAAGTCCTCATATCCAAGGGAAATGATGGAGGTCGTGCTGCTCCACCTTCTCCCTCTTCCCCAAAACCCAAAGGGCAGCTCTTTGAGGGGACCCGTGAAAGCTGAGAAGGATGGGGACCAGTGAAGGCTGAGACTCCCATTCCAGCTAGAGCTCACAACTTCAGATCGCAGGAGACATCCCCACTGGGGCATTATACTACTCTGTGCTTTCCTTGGCTTCCTCAGATGGTCTGAAAACTAACTTTATACTATTAGATTGATTTGGGGATCCTGGCCGAGAGACTTGGATTTATCACCTCCATCTAGAAGGGCCAAACATGGTAGCCAGACCCCACACAGCCGGGACACGAGTCGGTTCTCCGGAGGCTGGTGTTTGTGCCGTGCAGGGACTGGGCTGTGGTTTTGATGTCAATCCTAAGATCTAAGATCACACACTGCTTGGTGACGAAGGAAGGAGGAAGAGCCAGGTTTTCAAAACTGTTGAGGTGTCCAGGCCTGGCCTCTGGCTTGGCATGTTCTTCACCTCCTTCGTCTGATAGAACATTATTTTTCAATGTAGAGAAGTCCTGGAGAAGGCAGTCTAGTGGTCAGGGTCAGAGGTGTGAGGGCGGAGAACTTTGGGTGTGTGCACAGAAAGTTTGAAGACTGGCCCAATGAAGAAACAGGTCTCTTGTGGAAAGTCTGGCCCCCACGGCAGTCTCCCTTCACTGTGATAAACTGACCCCTTCTGAGATGAACAGACCCCGTGCCTCCACTTCGGTACTGCCAATACATGGACAGGCGAGGTTCTCAGGTGGAAGGCTACGAGCATTTGGGTAGTTATTGGATTCAATATCTGTATATGCATTTACATAAGAATACAGACACATACAGACAGAAACAAAGGACTTCACTGTGTTTGAATATTTCAAAGCCTTCTACCATACAGACAGAAAGAATCTCTTGAGATTTACTTTTGCCCATCAGCAGCTAGACTAGCCTAGGAGAACATCCCTGAGTATCAGAACGCTTTACTTAGTGTTGGTTGTGGGCTGGGGTTGGGAGGCTGCTGCCATCTTCTTAGATTTGAGGAGACCCCTTAGACTCTGTTCTTATCCTTTCTAGTACACCATCCAGCTGCCAGTCCATAATCTACATACCACAGGACATCATCAGAGCCAAGGAGATCATTGCCCAGATCAATACCCTGAAAACCCAAGTGAGTTACTATGCAGAGCGGCTCTCGAGGGCGGCCAAGGACAGGTCTGCCACTGGCCTTGAAAGAACCCTCGCCATCCTGGCAGACAAGGTAGGGGGCACTACCCTGCTACATGTGAGATGGGGGCTCCCTTGGGTTTCTGGAAGCCCTTGGACACTCCATGTGTGCTTAGAGCCGTCCATTCCAAAGGTGACATTGGGATGACCTTGAAGATCTAGTTTCAGGTTTAGTTCCCCCAGAGGCCCAGGGAGGTTTGGTGATTTGCCTGTGGTCACAGAGCTGGATGAGGGCAGGCCAAGGACAGCACCCAGGGCTGGTGACTTCCAGTGCTGCTTCATGCAGATGTGTCTTCCCTCAAGTCCGTGGGGTCCATTTTGGAGGCTGAGGTAGTTCCACGGCTTTCTTAGCAACTGCCTACTCAGCGCATTTTTTGCCAATTTTTATTGACTTGGAATTTGAAAAAAGAAGCTGAGTTATTGTACAGACATACAATAAAGGAAATATAACTTCATTGGCTTTCACATAATCAGTAAGCCATTTTCTAATTAACTGTAATTTGATCCTGATTAAAAATATCTAGGGGCGCCTGGGTGGCTCAATCAGTTAAGCATCCAACTCTTGATTTTGGTTCAGGTCATGATCTCACGGTTCTGGGACCAAACCCCATGTCAGGCTCTGTGCTCAGTGAGGAGTCAGCTTGGGATGCTCTCTCTCCCTCTGCTCTTTGCCCCACTTACGCATGTGTGTGTCCCCACTCTCTCCCTTTTTCTCTCTCTCTCTCTCTCAAATAAATCTTAAAAAAATATATAGATAGATATAAATATATAAATATTGGTCCATACTGGGGCATTGGATATACCAGATCATTTTGATGGATGATGCTTTTTCAAATTACTCAGTCTCTCGACACACACACACACACACACACACTCACACACACATGCACACACATATACAGATTCTGATCACACTTCCCCACTCACACCCACTTTGCTGGGGTGAGGTGCTGTTCCTGATCAGAACGTGTTATATCCTTCACATGTGTTCACTCAGCAAAGAGATCGAGAGCTGGAAATTAGATCCACTTGGAAAAGAAAGATGATGTTATCAGAAGGAAAATTATGAGCCACAGAACTCCTGCTGCATACAGAATTCCCCAGAACCATAGTGCTATGCTGAGAGTCCCACTGCCCAGAGTCCAGGGCTTTGAGTATTAGATGCAAAAAAATAAGACTTAAGTGATCGCATCAAATTCTTGCCTGTCCCCTGGAACCAGAGAGGACAGCCCAGGATGTCAGTGAAGGCAAGGACACTGGGCTCTCTTCAGGCCCTTCCTTAAGTCACGTCAGGCTCAGAGGAGGGCAGGGACTGAAGCATGTCAGAGATTTCTCGACCTCCTTCATTCTCCCTGTGTCGTCCAGTCTTTTTGTGGGAGCCTTTAAACTCAGCCATCCCAAGGGCTCCTGTATGGAGAAGGGTGCACAGCTGGGCCTCAGGACGGTTCCTGAGCTCTCAGAGACGACCGGCCTCAGCGGCTTTGGTTTGTGTGTGCTGCAGACCCGGCAGCTGGTCACCGTGTGCGACTGCAAGCTGCTGGCCAACTCCATCCACGGGCTGAACGCGGCGCGGCCCGACTACATTGCCTCCAAGGCCTCCCCCACATCGAGTGAGGAGGAGCAGGTGATGCTTAGGAACGACCAGGACACCCTCATGGCCAGGTGGACGGGGAGGAACAGCCGGTCTTCTCTGCAGGTGGACTGGCACGAGGAGGAGTGGGTGAGTCTGCTGCCCCTGGCCCTCATTCTGCCACTGAGCTTGGGTTGAAAAATTCAAAGCCTCTTGCCAGCCCCTCCCCACCAAGAGGTGTCTACCAGGTTGGCTGCTTCGCAGACAAGCTCCGAGTCTCCTCCCGGGTGGCTCTTGGACCCCCTGAGTTAGGGAGGGAGATGGCATTTTCACACCTTGTGTCCATCTGAGGGGCAGGGCTGCCGCAGGCCAGGCTGGTGTCAGACCCGGCTGTAAAGGGGGCGATGTTCTCCATGGAGCTCTTGCCCGCTGGAGGCCCGTCTCCTGTCACTATCTCCTAAAGACCAGCCAGGCCCCCTGCTTCCTCAAAGCTCTCTACGCAGTTAGCCCTTCCAGGGCCATTTGTATTTTGGGGGGACAGGGGAGGAGTCTGGAGACGCTGCCCCTGACGTTGTATGCGTTGCATCCTTCTTCCTGACAGAGTGGCCCTGAGAGCCGCACCTGTCTCTCCTGAGGGAGGGACATATCACACAACTCGTTTTGTCATTTTTTAGGACTACGGCTTGGAGGCATGGAGTTTTTAGTCAGCAGCGAAGGGCTCCTCCGGCCCTGCCCCGGTGTCCTGTATTCTGTGTGGGTTTCTGCAAACCGCTCCCAGCCCTGCCTCCCCACCTCCCCACTGCCCCCGTCTGAAGTGACCGGCTGCCTCCATTACCTTCCCTCAGTCCCCTGTGTGTTTGATGGTTGTAGGAGGTCTGCAGCAGAGGGAGGAGGGATGAGCTGGCTTGCTGGGCCCCGTGGTCCTGCTGCCAGCTCTGGAGGGCACCGGGAAGCCCTGTCCGGCCTCCGTGACAGTTACTAGCAAACATGTCTCCAACTTTAAAAACAATGACCGCAGTACATTGATTTGTGTTTTGAAAAGCAAATACAACTGTAATAGGGAATTCTGAATTAATCTTGATACTTCTAAATTTGTGGTATTTTAATGATCACAGTGGCCCAGGGTGGGGGAATCAGTGTGTGAGGGGGCAGGGAGGGGGGCACGGGGAGGGGTGGTGTTCTGTTCTGCTTTTCCCATCGGGACAGCTGACCCAGATGGGCCCTTTCGGTTTGGAAGGAAAAAGTGTGGCTGAACGTCGACAAGAGCCTGGAGTGCATCATTCAGCGGGTGGACAAGCTGCTGCAGAAGGAGCGCCTGCATGGCGAAGGCTGTGAGGATGTCTTCCCGTGCGCGGGCAGCTGTACCAGCAAGAAAGGTAACCGGGACAGCCACGCCTACTGGATCAACCCGGAAGACCCCTTCTGCAATGTGCCCTCCTCACCATGCCCCTCCACCATCTGCTCGATGCCATCCTCACCTGCATGCCATCCTCACCTGACCACACGTGCGTATGCATCCACGCTGCCCACTCATGCTGCCTCCACCTCACGCTGCGTCTGTCTGTCTGTCTGTCTGTGTCTGACTCCATGACCTCCTCCCCCCATGCAGACTGCAGGGAGGGCCGTCAGGCAGAGCCGGCTGTCACAGTGCACAGAGCAGCGGGCGGTGAGGGCAGAAGCCCCCGTAGTCCACGCCCGTGGAGCCCATGCGCGAATCTGCGTGTCCGGCAAAGGCAGAATCTCAAGGCCGTCTTGGGTGTCACTGCCCTATCAGTGAGGGTGGGGTTCCTGGGCTGTTCTGGTTTGTAAACCAGTCTGAGAACCTGCAGGAGGCCGAAATGCAGATGCTTTTCTTCTGAGATTGTTGACTGCACCAGGAATTGGTAGAATCAAGGGAGAGGTGAATCATGCAGGGACACAGCCGGATGAGAGCTGTTAGCGGGCTCAGCAGACTCGTCCAAAGGCTGCTTGTCATCAGCCGGCTGTGCTGTTACCCAGCAGGGGATGTTGCCTTGGCACTTGTCGGTCACTCACTCAGATGGTGGAACCCGCTCCTGGGGCTGAGTTAGGTTCCTCTGTTCAGCACCGCCCCCGAGGCAGGGTTCTCAGTAGATGGTAGGACGTTGGCATGAAGCAGCATGCTTCAGAAACAGTCCTCTGCCTGCACAGACAGAGCACAACCAGACACTCCGTCCCGCGTGTAGCCCTAAAGCTGGGCACGCACGATTTCTCCGCCAGGCCGTCCTCGGTCCCTGCCACTCGGGGCCTTCCACCTTTTCCCGTAGGAGCTGGAGGGGGTCATGGGCCAGGCAGCTGAGAGCCGGCTGCAGACCTAGCTTCTGCCTCCTCTGCTCTCCTCTGTGAATGGTACACTGTGGTTAGTAAGGCCCAGATGTGCGAAGGTTAGCCTTCAGACAGCAAGGACTTTTCATTTCTGAATTGGACAGCTTTCATTCAAGGCAGAAGCTGCTCCTCTATCAGAGCCTCTTGATAAATCCTTATTTGTAAGATGCCCTTCACCTTTTCAGTATGCCTGCAGTCTGTTCCCAGGGTGCGATTTCACTTGAGCCTCTGATTCAACAGTGTCCACGTCCTCCACCCTTCCATCTGTGAAGGACTGTAGTTTCAGTTCCCCAAGCCTGTGATTGGTTTCATGGAGCTATTTTGTCCTGTTTGTCTTCTCATTTTTTTATGTAAATTGTGTTTAAAAAAAAAAAAATAACGCTCATTTCTCTTCAATATTGTCTTGCTTTTTTTTCCGCAGATATAAAAAGAGTAATTTATTGGGCTTTTAAAAAAAATGCCAGAGAGAGTTTATTTAATCAGATATTCTGTTACATCCATAACTTAAATGTCAGTTTCCTTCTAGGCAACATCCTGTATTGGTCAAATGTAGACAAATTTAAATGCAGTTTTCAAGTTATTTAAATGAGCATTTATTTATGGTATTTAGGGTATGACTTGTGTTTGCCATGCAAATCAGCTCTGTTGTAATCATGGGAATATGAAGCATACATTTGAGAGAGTCTAACTTGGCTGATCAGTACTCAAAGAAATGTATGAAACCGTATGCCACTAAATTAACTGTGGATGATCCTAATTTAAAAATCTTGAGCATAGCTAGGAAGCCGTTCAGAGCTGGATGTGATCAGGAGAATCAGAGAGAACGAGATGGCGAGCTATTTATTTTATCCGGTCTCTTACCCTCAAGGGCCGGAGCCCAGCTCTGTTGTGACTTTCTATACCATTCCAACTTCCTGGGCCAGTTGTTTAGGCCTAATGAACAGGTTGTGTTCACACCAACTTATATACAAAGAACTCTGTGCCTCTTTGAAAGGCATCATGACTTTTCATTCCAGCTCTGCACCCTCTCCTAAGTCTTTGGTTTCCATCTTCTGCTAAGGAGTCATGCTGCCTTCTAGCTTGCTCTCCCACAGAACTTACCAGAGCCTTGCCTGGCAGGCATGCACCACTGTGGGACCCACTGACGAGTCCCCGCCAGCTGGAACCCCAGAGGCTCCGGGAGTCTCGCCTTCCTTCTTCCGCTTTCCACACAGGTCATAAGTGCCCCACACCCCTCTGCATCACCACCCACAGCCACCCCATCCGGTGGCCTCCATGTCCTGCCATGCACGCACTCATCCTCTCCTCATCGCTGAAGAACCATTCAAACCCCAGACCAGGTTGTTTTAACCTGAACCCCAGGTTCATATGTCCCTGAGATTATGTGCTAGGATGAGAGGAGGTATATAGTGGTCATCAAATCTCAGGGTACAAGCCACTGGTCCAGGAGTACTGAAGGAGACCCCCCCCCACCACACACACACACACACACACACACACACACACACACACACACATTCCCTGCTTTGACTGAAAGATTGAGTTTACCCAGCTGAGTTTAACCCCTAATACCTTTTTGGGAATGGTCACAACCCAGCTATTTGGGATCACCACAGAAGATCATGAAAACAGGCCCTTCGACCTTCCTCCTCACTCAGACTCAGAATTTTGGAGGAAGGGTTATGGGAAGGCCGAAATCTGTATTTTTTTTTTCCTCAAGACTGGGGTAGTTCTGATTAGCTGGACAGAGGTCTAAGAATCACTGTTCTGCGTCACCGCACACCACTGTGGGTTTCTCTCTTTGTTAGGCAGATGGTCTCAGGGTACTTAGGCTCTGCTGAAGAGGCTGAAGTCTTCAGCTCACAGGGGCCTTCACGTTTGCTCTGTTCTATCTCCTTTGCCGGTGGAAGAAGTCACTCTCAAAGATGCCTAGAGCAGAGGGATCCCTTGCCACCTCCACCTCTGGGCAACTCAGCTGGTAAACGTCTCCATACAGCTGGTTCCACCTATTTGGGGGGCTCTAAAACCACCCATTTCAGTACCCTGAAGACATAAAATGACCCCTTTCCAGACTCATCTTCTTCCAGGTGGCACACCCAGTTAACCAAGGAACTGTAGTTTTTAAGGGAAATACAAAATTGAAATGAGTACTTCACTTGCTGAAATGCGACTCATTGTAGGTGAAATTGAATTAAAATTGGCATTCTTTGTATGACCTGGAGGGACGTTGTAATTCTTGACTTCCCCCAAATCATAAAAGTTTTAAATTTGATTTAAATGTTTAAGATTGGCGTAGTTGTGGGGTGGTATATTGGTTTCATCACTGGATCCTAACCTTTGGGTCTCTCAGCATGTCAGTCTGCAGCCCAGGTTCCACTCGTGAGTCAGGGCAGCGGGCTCTGAATTGGGGATGATCAATTTGCTGGTCAGTCTCTCTCATTACAAGTGTGCTTCCAGATGCTCTGAGCCAACATGGGCTCCGCCATGTACAATGTGATCGATGTGGGCACTTTATCACATTGTAATACGTTAGTTTGCTTACCTGAAGAGCATTTTATGTTGAAGTCTTAGCAACATGAATGAATGAATCAGTGCGTCGGTCAGTGTTTACCACCAAGAGGGCTTGGCTGCCGCAGAGCAGCCGAGCACCCGCGTGGGACTTCTCGGGGAGGAGGCAGGCAGGCCTCCGTCCTCTTCTCTGTTCAGCTGAGCCACCTTACGGCCGGCTGCCGATGCAGTTGCTGTAAGCGCTGAGTTGTTCATGTTTGAACTTTGTGCTGCTCCTTAATCATCCGTGTCGCCCTCCATTTCTGTGCAGATTGCAGCCCCCCTCCTGACGAGTCCAGCCCAGGTACGTGGTTTCCATTCAAGGCTTCTGCAGATGTCTTTTTTTAATCCTCAGGTAGTGTTTGTAGCTGAATTATCCGAGACTGCCTATGCTTCCAGAGTTAGGAAAATATTTTAGGAGTGTGTTCATTTGAGGCAGCTAGCAACTTCTCTTAGGTCTGGTGAGGAACCAGTTGGGTTGGGGATGCTGGCCTGAAGCAGGCTACCCCATGTGCTTTTCTCGCTTGCCCATCATACAACCTTTTCAGACAATTTGTGTCCGCGGGTGCGTTGGACTTCCTGAATCAGCACAGGGCATATTTGTAAATGATACTTCCTGTGATTCCACCTGAACTTGTGAACATTACATGGAAGGGGTGTAGCCACCCAAATGTTGCAGCATTCACAATGACACAGCGTCCTCTCTTCTGAGTCTGGATGCAGCTCAGAGTTCTTAGGCATTGCTAAGAGGCTCAGTTGGAGATAGTGCAAAAATGGAATCTTTCTGCTGCCTTTGCATGTAGGAGTCAGTGTTTATGGCTCTAGTTCAGGGGTCGGCAGACTGCAGCTCTGAGCCGAGTCCTGTCCACCGCCTGCTCTTGTAAATAATGTTTTATTGGAAATCACATCCACTCATTCACATGCTGTCTGGCTGCTTTTGTGGGGCAATACCAGAGTCAAGTAGCTGTGACAAGGACCCCATCATCCTCAAAAGAGCCTAAAATATTTACTGTCTGGCCTTTTACAGAAAAAGGGTGCCGACCCCTGCTCTAGTTCATGTTGAATTTCCTGGTTGTGTTGTGGGTTCCCCAGAGTGAGCATGAGACCCCCCCAAATAATATGCTTTTGCTTACCCCCCCCAAAACCAGCTACCCGATCAGTCTGATGATTGCATATTTCTGACTGAATATAAATGTGAGGTAGCAGGACACCTGTTTTATATCTAGAGTGCAGTAAACTAGTGATTTGGGGATTTACCAAACTCTCCCTGTCGGTTTTAGCAAACCCTCTCAGCTCGTATAGCACCATGAATTTTATACCAGCTGTGTCATTTCTAGAAGCCCTGGTGGCTTGTCCACAGTTAATGTCAATGGACTAAAATGGTCCCCTGCCAAGAGTTCCTTTGGCTTTCCCTGGAGAGCTCTATTTTATCTCAGTCAAAACACAAACACATTTTTTCTCTCACTCTTTCTCAGTTTTTCTCCTTTCTTCTCTCCCTCCCTCCCCTGTTAATGAGGAAAAAAAAACAAAAAAACAAAAGCAGAGCATGGATTTGAAAAAGCCCTTCAAAGTTACCAAACGTAGAATGCTTAGTCCATGGATTAGCCACCAGTCATCGAGCATTAACAGATTAGCAACTAGACAAGGAGCTTACCCCCAAAAGTGAATCAGCTACATCCCTAAGGACACTGTTGAGTTGAACTGATTTTTTTTTTCATAGCAAGACTTTCTTGACAAAAGGAGCAGAGTACGACTCTGTTATCAAATCTAACTTCCCAATATCTTTACTTAGCTAGGTCCTGGCAGACATCCCATTTCTGTCCCTGAAATTCATTTTGTCTGGAAGTTTCTAATTTTAGTTTTTCTTTGCGTTCCCCCCAAATGTATTTTCACCCTCCAGTTCTACTCTCTACTTGGCAGAAGCAGTCTGACACAATAGAAATAACATAGAGTTTAGAGTTAGACCCATACAAATGCTTGTTCTTTTTGTGTGTCTGGGAAGACACTTAACCTCCCTGAGCCTGTTTCCTTACCTGTATTAATAATCCTCTCTCTGTGGATTAAATGAGAAAACAGATGAAAGGTAAAGCACTAACAGGTTTTACATACATGGTGGTTGGCCCTTTTGTTGAACTCTGGAGCCATCTAGACATGTCTAAGCCCTTCTCCAGGCAGATGGCAGACACATCTCCCACCCAGACCCACATCTTTTCTCCAGGACAAGCTCCTAGTGCTTTTTAGCCACTCTTCCTGTACTCCCAACTTTTTTCAGGGTTGTTTTTCCCCCCCCTCCAAGGGAACAAAACCAAGTCATACTTAAACGAATTTTTTTTGAAAGAGAAGTAGGTAAAGTCTGGTTTAGTTTTCCTGTAGAGATACTAGGAAATTGTGACCCTGTACCAAAACAAGTTTTTAAAAATAGAACCCTGGGGTGGAAAAACAGAGTTAAAGGTATTTGGGGCTTTGGCTCTTTTTTGCCTTCCTATTTAGAAGGGATTTAAAGAGAAAAGACATGCCCTCATCAGTTCTACTTATAACAGGTCACCAAGCCCAGACATAGGCATTTAACCATCACTGCGGGTGAGCCTGCCAGGTGCAGCAAATGGGGCACAGGCGGGGAGTGGAGCCCGGACAGCACACGCCCCTTAGGATGAGGGAGAAGATTTGCTTAGTCGGCAAAGACCACTTGTACTTTGTGACCATTTTCAGATTAAAATGCGTATTAATTACATATGTACATGCATGTTAAGTGGAAAATCAAAGTAAAAGTAAAATTGGCAACACTTACTTGCTCTATGAGCATTTACTTCTTAGGTAATGACTTAGTTAATGAAACCCTAATTATTTGGCTATTAAAACTAAGCTGCCATTGGTCTTTCTTAATAGATGCTGCTGAATAAAATTTACATGTGTGAACAGAGTTCTTCAGAGAAACAAAAACATGGCCTCTGAGATTTTTTAGAGGAGGAAAGAGACTTGGGTGTTATCTAGCAGAGCCCTTCCATTTTACCAGAAAGGATCCATGTGGCCAAGGAGGCAAGAGACCTGTCCATGGCCACCACTGCTTAGCAGAAACCGGGGCCTGAGACTCACATTGTCCACTCCTTGGTCACCGTGACTTCTTTGCTAAGACCTTTTCTGCTGTAGACTTTCTAAATTTAAGCCTGCTTTTTTTTTTTTTTTTTTGCATCACAGGCACAAATCCTTGTCCACATACAATGTGCCCGCATCCACAGTGAGATAATTTCCAAAGTTTGAATGGCTACATATACTTGAAAATGTGCATTAACCAAACACTGAGTATAGGGAAGTCCTTTTGCAATTTTAGGCCTTTCTCTAAATCTGTTTCTCAACAAAGTGCTACTTGTACAGTTTGAGAGGAGTGGAGCCAACCTCCCTTCTCTGTGGCTCTTAGATTCCGTTTATCTAAGACAGCGCTTACCCTCTGGCGGCCATCCCGCCTGCCCGGCCCGTGGCCTCTCCCCAGTGCAATGACGTCTGTGGCTGTTCTGAGACTCACCCCTCATCCTAAGGGGCGTGTGCTGTCCGGGCTCCACTCCCCGCCTGTGCCCCGTTTGCTGCACCTGGCAGGCTCACCCGCGGTGATGGTTAAATGCCTATGTCTGGGCTTGGTGACCTGTTATAAGTAGAACTGATGAGGGCATGTCTTTTCTCTTTAAATCCCTTCTAAATAGGA